ATTTTTTTCTATTAATACAAATTATATATATTATTAGAATATTATAGATAACAAAATTTCAGATATTTTTAATACCTACTTTATTTTTTCGTATTTTTTTGCTTAAATATTTACTATCATTTTTTATAATTTTATTATTTGAATTTAAAAACTTTCACATAATGCTATCACAAATGCTATTTGTTCTTTAGATATTTTTTTAGCATCCGGTCATGTTTCATGGATGATCTTTCCATACCAGATTTCATTTTCATCCTTTGGTATACTTGTGTGCAGCTTTTCGTAACATTCTTTAACTACACATTTTTCCTTCCAATTTTTAATCTTACTTGGTGGTGCCTTCATAGTTATTTGTGGAAGATTTTGAAATATCGCAAATATTGATTTTTGATTTGCGAAGACATAGTCCTCCTTCTTGACCAATGTCTTTCTATAACTTTAAATAATTTAAAATCTTTTGTCAATTATTAGAGCATTTAAATTATAATGTAATTCGATAAAACTTACTTTTTTTTGAATAGTTAAATCGTAATAAAATGTCTAGCGTTTGTTGTTCCAATTTTTAAAAAGCTCCAGATATTTTTGAATAATATAGCCCACAGTATACTTGTACGCAAAATTATTTTGGGGTTCCGAAATTACAATTTCAGGGAAAAAAGTCAAAATAGTTTTCATAGAAAACGAAATTATTTTACTTAAAACCCGAAATTTTTTGACCACCCAGATTTATTCTTTAATTAAAGATACATATAACTAGATACTTTTTTTACTTCCATATATAGAATAGATTTTGTATAAATTTCAAAAAGTCGAAACCTCAAAAATTCAAAATCAATTTTGGGAACATGTATAGGAGAGACATTGGAAATTTTCATGTTCCAGTAATAAATACTGTGGTGTAAATCACGATAAATACTTGAAAATCAAACAAAAATCTAATTCTGCATATAGCGGAGCTAGTGTCTCGACACTTAATTTCGATGATATGTATGCATTACATCGATATAAATTGTGAATGCAAAATGCTATCAGAAAAATCGAATGTGCAAGAGAAGCTGGTAAAAAGATTTGAGCATGTACAATTATACAGAGGAAATGGTTAGAAATTTTCTATAAACTGGATAGCATGTGCGCTACACTATTAGCTGAGCATTATAAATTATTATGGACAGTTCGAGAAGAGATGCGTCAAATTAACAATGTATAAACTGTGTCTGCAAAGCAATACATATATCTATTTATCCAATTAATATATCTATTTATTTATTATATAACTTATTCATATATATATATTTTTAAAATAAAACCATCTTATTTATCAATATATTATGATTATTTTTTAATTTATTTTTTACGAAGTCCAAGACGTATAGCATATATATTGTTCTCCTGAATAGTACAAAATTCCAAATTGGATGCTTTATTATTGGTAGAATTTTCATCGATATGATTTACACATTCTTTACCTTCTCCTTTTAAACAAAAAGCTAAAGCAACAAGATGATGAACTGAATAGATTTTATTTACTATACTAATTCGAAGATATCCTTTATGTAAAGATCCTTGAGAGATCAAACTACTAGGTAGTTGAATATTCCCTAAAGATGATACTTTGATTTTTTGTGAATTGAGTTCTATTTCTTTCCATTCTTCATTGGGGTCGAGATCTATATAATCTTCATAATACATCCAATTCCATTCTCCAGTAGAATTTTGTTTTCTTCTGCAACATGTCCAAATATTAGAATGTGAAATTTTAAGAGTATTACTTGCATGAATAATCGAATCCCAAATTTGAATAACATTTCCATCTAATGTCTTTTGTACTATTCGTCTAGAAAATCCTTTATTTTGTCGATTTGGAAAAACTTTTTGTTCAGCATTTTCTTTGGGACTAACTCATTCAAGATTATCTACTTTATTATCATGTCTAATACTATTAATATAGTTTACATAAGGCTTATTTTCTAGATTAGGGATAAATACTTGGGCGATTAAAATATGAGCTTTTTTTATTAATCGAATACCATTAATATTTAATGAAATCTGTACATAACCACTTCTTTTGTGAATATTCCCTTTTAAAATTATACCTTTTTTTATTTTTAATATGTCCAAAATTTGATACTAACTTATCTGAATTTACTATAGATAATCAAACTTCCATCTTAATTTATAATCCATCTATTTTTTTAAATCTGTAAATCATAAGTTTATTGCTATTTCGTGATGATTAATAGTTTTTTTTTGTTAAAATTTATGAAGTTTTAGATATACAATATGTATTAGATCGAATTATAGTTTAACAATAAATAAAATATATAAATATAATAAACTTATCTTTTTTAAAAGGAATTAACCAATCCGTCATGTAAATTCATAGAGTCACTTTCTTTATATGCGCGTAAAGTTTTAGGTTCAGTGGGAGCAGTACCATACACCCCAGATGTATTAGATCTGAAGACAGTTTTAGTTGAATTCCCTAAAGCCATTGTATCATCGGTATGACTTCGCTATTCAGGAAGAGGTGGCCTAGATATAGGTGAATTTTCATAAGTATATTGCCAAAGAGTGTCTGGGTTCGATCTTTCTGTTGAAATCTGTGGAGGGGCAGAACTATAAACATGAATATTATATTGATCAGCTCCAGCAGATTTAGGTAACGTCTAATTCAAGTGTCATATAAAATCTTGTTTGTGTGAGAAAGTTGGATTTTTTTGCGAGGGAGCAGATCTTTCTGAAGTAGAGAGATGTCTGATAGAATCAAAGAAACCTAGCCCTGATGTATGTCGCATATCATCTCCAGTTTGAAGTGATCGAATTACCCCAGCGATATTCGCTAAATGTGCGTTAGGGAATGCATTACTGACTAGACTACCCTGTACTGCTTTTTCTGAATAGATGACTGATAATACCCCTTTAGCCGGGTGTAGTTTTTGTGATGAAGGAACAAAATTTTGATTCTGATCTTCTTGTTATTGCCAATAAAAAAATTCTAAATCACTAGGTAAAATTAGTTTTCGAAATATTCCAGTATTAAATGTTACATTCTACAATGGCAAATTTCTTTTCTGATCTTCACATTGTATCTCATCCATTGAATAGGAGTCTGAAGTGAGAATTGGTCTTCGAAATGTCCCAGTATAGGATGTTATATCTTGCAATATTAAATACCTCTCCTGTTCTTCACACTGCATTTCATTCACTGGGTAGGGATCTGAAGCAAGAATTGGTCTCTAGAATGTCTCAGTATGAGATGTTATATCTTGTAATGATAGATGTCTTTGCTGCTCTTCACATTGTATTTCACTTATTAGGTAAGGATCTGAAGAAAGAATAAGTTCTCTATTATTTATAGAAATAGATTTTTCAAAACTGAATGGCAAAACTAATCGTTGATCCCCCTTTTGTTCTTTAGAGTATATATCTGACATAGGCATGAGTGAAGCCCCTTCCGATTTAGTTAACTGAGAATTTTTATTTTGGCCGAACTCAGTTTCAGCTTGAAACATTCTCTTAGTAGCCAAAACCATATGCATATCGAATAAAATACGTTTTGATCCACTAGCATCTTGCTGAAGATTCCACGAATGGTCAGACTTCTGCAACATTATGTTTCTGTCTTTTAAGGAGGTGGTATATAAACCCATTGTATTGTCATATTGCTAAAGATTTCACGATTGATCTGGCTTCTGTATAAAGCTCCGAATAAGTATTAAAGCTCGCGAGCCCAACGAGCCGAGTCGAGTCAAGCCGAGCCAAGTCTAGTATTAT